GAGAGAGAGAGAGAGAGAGAGAGAGAGAGAGAGAGAGAGATTTTGTTGTTGGGTGGGCTTTCTTTTTTTTTATTTATATTTATTATTTACTTTTGCATTATGATCACCTTATCTTATCTTGACAATATAATGTTATTTTAATGGCTATACGTCTTCTCTGTGCTGCACACTAAATACCATTAGCAAACCCACAAAAATTGTACACACACACACACACACACACACACAGACCCTGCAAAGAACAGTTGCCCCTTCACAAATAAAAATAAATAAATAAAGCCTTATAAAACAAAAAATAGTAGCAGCATTATATTATATTTTAAACAAAAATAAATAAATATATATATATATATATATAAATCACGAACAGTCTCACCGTGAAACAGCGTCACATGAGACCTGCTGGTAATTTGTTATCACTATTCTACAAAAGCCTTTCCCTTTGTCATCGGAAATTGCAGGACCAATTTATTGAACCATATCAACCCACTGGTGGTCCCACCCCACCCCCACCCCCCAATATTTTATGTTTCAATTTTTTTTTTTTTAAGTATTAATTTAAAAATCCATAATTTTTGCTTTTTTTATTTTATTTTATTTTATTTCATCTCCTTGAGATAGTTGGATTTATATCCCCATTCTAACTTCCAACTCTTCTATCAGCAGTCTAGCCTACATTCTCATAGAAGCCTAAGCCCAACTGTATAAAAGGAACTCGTGTTTTTCAACTTGGGCCAACAGGGGGATTTTACGACCCATGAGACCCATGGGCCAGCCCAAATAGGCTGGGTTTAACAACATTGATCTTAACCAAATCGAAGAATTTAGAAGTTCCGGACCTCAGGCTTCAAACCAGATCATCATTAAAATTCACACCATTTTGATGGGAACACCTATTGCACATATTATTCACATTCCTCTTTGATATAGCACATGAGAACATTTATGTAGACCGGAAGAAATCGACTTGATTTCCGGACCGAGCAGATACAATTCGGTAGCATTTGCTCGGCCCACCAACAGCTATTTTATGGGTATGGTTGGACTTGGAGACCAAATGGATATGTTAACATATGGGCTTGGCCCAATAACAACTTAGTCAGGCGCCCGGCCTGCTAATAGTTGGGTTATGCGGTGGATTGAGAATCAATTAGGGGTTGCAGTTATCAAATTGACTCATAGGAGGGATAGGGGAATTGCGTATAAATAGGTAGGTCTTGTATGGTGGCAGAGGTATGAGTTTTCACGCTACAAAATCTTAATATACAAACTGAGCGTTCTTGGATACCCTACTAACTTGAGCGTCGGAATTGCCGGGAACACTTCCCAGCGTCGGAGATTTATTACCGGGTACACTTCCCAACGTCTTTGCAGGTTTTGGAGGGATCAAGCGGTTGGAATTCAAGGAGGGCCGATCCAGTGTGCGGTAGCACATCACTCTTGTAATTTCATTCTATCTAAAATAAACTAAATAAAAACATATGCATGAGATTTCCTATGAAAGGATATCAATTACGGCCATAAATTACCACATTCAGAACACAAATCTAAAATGAAGTAATGAGCACCGTCAATTAAACCGGAAAATCCACTAAAAGTAAATGAAAAGCGAAAACGAAACGACAGTATTGTGACAACGGACCAAGAAAATTAAACAAATCAAAACGTGCGGGGTAAACAGCTTGCCACTTTCCGGCAGCGGTGAAGATCAAGCGGTGGAATGCGAGTGGTCTCCGGCGGCGCGATAAATTTTGGGTGGTCACCAATTTTATGTATTTATTTATTAGTTAGATTAGATCATAGATGTACAGGTCTATGGGCCCAACTAAAGAAGGCTGCTGATCCATGTATTGAATTCAAGTGCAAGTCCATTGCAATTGGACTAAGATTTTGATTGTAGACTAGAGCCCACTACAGCCCACTAAGATTGATTGTGGACTCGAGCCCACTTCACGCGATAAATAATGTAGGGGAATGGTCAAAGAGGAGGTGAAATGTATCATCAAGTTTTGTTTCACCATCATTACTCAATAAGTAGTAAAAGTCTTCGAAGGTTGTGACTTTGTGCATGAGAAACAACAATTACCCCTCATCATCATCATAAACTAATAATAGAGGTATTTAATGTCCCCAAAGTTGTTACAAATTTTATTCTCGAAACAC